TACACACCACTATGGTTATCTCCTGGGGGCAGAGAAACAGATAGTTCTATCAATACCCCAGACTGTAAATGCTGTCAGAAGAGGAGTCTTATCTATTTTGGTCACTTATCTGTTTCCCCAGCACTTAAAATAGTGTCTGGCACACAGTGGACATTAAGTAAATATTTTCAAAGGAATGAATCAACCTCTGGCATAGACTTGTGAAATGACCTGGGCCTTAGCACCAAATCCACAGAACACTTTGTTGTCCTGATGCCAAGTCAAGAAGACTTCCACTGCCGGAGCATCAGCTCTTTTGCATGTTATAGCTCATACCCTCTCAGTGCCGAGTCCTCTCAGCATCTCAGGTCACCTCACTCCTTGGTCCTTAAGAGAGATCAAATCAACATACATATGCGTGTGTGTGCACACATATATACACACACACATATATATGTATATACATACATCTATATGGATCTATATATCGATAATTACTGATATCCATATATCTGTTGATATTATATATGTGTGTATATACATATAAACATATAAATACACATATACACACACACACATACATATATTCTATCTAATAATAGACAAACATGGTAATTAACTGTACCTCCGACATGCTTCCCATTGGCTAATCAGGGCGATATGCAAATTAACTGCCAACCAAGATGGCGGCCGGCAGCCAGGAAGCTGAAGCAAACAGGAGGCTTGCTTGCTCCAGTGATGGAGGAAGCCAATGATCCCCGCCTGCTGCTGCCGCCTCTGAGCTGCACTCTAAGAAACAATGTTGCAATTATAGAAGCTAAACAAACCCCAGAAACCTGCTTTCAGCCAGCCAGGCCTCAGAGCTGGAGCTGCAACAGTGTTTCAATTATAGAAGCCAAACAAACCCAGATACCTGCTTTCAGCAGCCAAGGTCTCAGAGCTGTAGCCAAGCCGCAGAGCTAAAGCTGGCTCTCAGTTCCAGTGACAGCCATAGATGGTAATTAAATCCCAGAATAAAAAAAAAAGAAAAAAAGGAGAGGCTGGGAGCTTCAGTCACCTGCCAGCCTGAAAACAGCTCTCAGCCCCTCATCCAGGCTGGCCAGGCACCCAAGTGGGACCCCCACCCTGATCCGGGACACGCTTCAGGGCAAACCAGCCGGCCCCCACCCGTGGACCAGGCCTCTATCCTATATAGTAAAAGGGTAATATGCAAACTGACCCTAACAGCAGAAAGACTGGGAATGACTGGTCACTATAACACACCCTGACCACCAGGGGGCAGACTCTCATTGCAGGAGCTGCCCTCTGGTGGTCAGGGTGCTCTCACATGGGAGGAGCTCTGCTCAGCCACAAGCCAGGCTGATGGCTGCCAGTACAGCGGTGGTGGTGGGAGCCTCTCCTGCCTCCTCAGCAGCACTAAGGACGTCTGACTGCAGTTTAGGCCTGCTCCCCGCTGGCAATTGTACATCCCCTGAGGGCTGCTGGGCTGCCAGAGGGATGTCTGATTGCCATCTTAGGCCCAATCCCCCGGGGAGTGGGCCTAAGCCAGCAGGTGGTCATCCCCTGTGGGGTCCCAGACTGCAAGAAGGCACAGGCTGGGCTGAGGGACCCCCTCCCTCCCCCCCTAGTGCACAAATTTTTGTGCGCCGGGCCTCTAGTATATATATAATCATCTATCATTATAAGAAAACCTAATATGATTACTACATGTAAATTTTTTCATATTAAAATATTAGGATATGTAAAATCACTATATAACCATTGAGTTGGGTATATGCGTGCATGTACTACTTAATTTCTATTTACACAGATGTTTTAGGTTTATAAACCCAGTGCTTAGATCTGTGTATTCACTTACTAATAGCAGTAGTTCAACCTAAAGAAATTAATAACAGACTATTCAGTTCAACAAGTATATATTAACAATCATTAATTTTCTAGCCCACTTTGTCAGTGTTTCTGCCACCCACTGTGACTTCCAGAAGTGTCAAATTGTAGTTCTTTTGCTAATGAGATACTTTGAATGAAGTCAACTCCCAGGAGTAACACCCAGCAAATGGTCATTTTTAACATCCTGACCATGGAAAGTATTTATGTTTCTCCTAAAGTCTTCAGAACCCAGAAAACAGCTTACACCACCAGCAAGGCTTTTCCTGTGTAATTTATCACAGAGGAAAACACTCATTTCATGTTATATAACAGAATCCTTTATTTTCCCAAGAACTTAACTCACCTAGGAGGGGTGGACAATAGACTAACAGATGTCACATCTCAGATACAGTGTTCTAAAGCTAAAGAGTTCAATTTAGTTGATTTTTTTAAAAACCATAAGCATAGGGAATATGGTCAATAGTATTCTAATAACTATGTATGGTGTTAGGTGGGTACAAAATTTATCGGGATGATAACTTAGTAAGTTATGCAATGTCTAATCACTGGGCTGTACACTGAAAACCAATGTAATTACATAGTTTAAACTGTAATTTTAAAAAAAATTTAAATGATTTTTTTTTAATTTAAGGCAATAAATAACACAAAGGATGTCAATAAGAACATTCATGAATATAAAAGTGTTGAAACAATATCTGCACAAAAAATAAACAAGCAACATAGAAACAGACTCAGAGATATCAGACTGATAATTGCCAGAGGGGAGCATGGCTGGGGGACTGGGTGAAAAGAGTGAAGGGATTAAAAACTACAGATTGGTAATTTCAAAATAGTCACAGAGATAGTGCAGCATAAGGGAAGATAGTCAATAATCTCATAATAACTATGTACAGTGTCAGGTGGGTACTTGAAATATTGGGGAACCACTTTGTAAAGTATACAATTGTCTAAACACTATGCTGTACACCTGAAACTAATACAAAATAACCTGAATGTAAACTGTAATTGAAAAATATTTTTTAAATCTTCACAAAAAAATCTCTATATTCTGAAAGACAAGGTGATTTTGTTCTTGCTACTCTCAAAATCACATCTCCTTTTTTTTCTACCTATTTCCTTGAAGTTTATGTTTTAGTTATCACAATGCTCTCATTTGGATGAAGAGTACCTATCCCATTTGAATACAGTCAAATTTTATAAACAGTCTCCTACTGACATCACTGCTCTAACTTCAAATTTTCATTTCTATCTTATGAAAGGAAAAAAGAGGAGCACACCTTCTTCATATACTTCCTCTGTTACTGCCACACTGTCTACTCCTCATGCCGCAGGCCTACCATTGGGAACACACAGACAAGTGCTCTCTGGCCAGCACAGTGTTATTTTTAAAATGTCAATCAGGCCTGGCTGGCATGGCTCAGTGGTTGAGCATCAAACTATGAACCAGGAGGTTGTGGTTCAGTTTGAGTCAGGGCACATGCTGGGGTTGCAGACTTGATCTCCAGCAGGAGGCAGTCAATCAATGATTCTCTCTCTCTCTCTCTCTCTCTCTCTCTCTCTCTCTCTCTCTCTCTCTCTCTCTCTCATCTCTGAAATCAATAAAAATATATTTTAAAAATGTCAATCAGGTACCAGTATTTTTAAATCACCAGATTTCACATAAGAACTTTAAATTTCAACCTCTCTTTGAAAATCAGAAAATGAAATCATACTGAGTATATTTTCATGTGGAAAGAAGCAGAGCTGAGTGGCAACTGCCCCTTTCCAACAGAACGTCTCAGGAGTTGTCATGGCCCCAGCTGTGAAGAAGCCCATGCGAGCCACGCGGTGAGGTCATGTGGAGAGTCCTCAGTCCCAGCTCCTGCAGACATCCAGCCTGGGCACTGGGCCTGTGAGTCAAGAAGCCTCCCGATGACTCCAACCTCAGCTGCCATCTTGCAAGTGTATGAGGACCAACGAGAGAACTACTCGAGCCCATCAACCACCCAGACTATGAGAGATTACATGGTTGTTTCAAGCCCCTACACTTTGGGATAACATGCTATGCAGCAATAAATGAGCAGTGAGAGATAAAATATACTCTCAAGAAACTAAATACACTTGTTTAAAATAGATTCTCCTTTTTTACTTGGAGCAATGAAGATAGTGTCCTTCTTATTTTTGTGTTTAGGCAGAAATCTAAAACATAAATGTGCCCAGGGAAGAAAATAGAAGTGGAAGAAAAGCCATCATTTGGAATCAGCTGTATCTTTTTTAATAAGTTGGCTGGCAGCACTGAGGAATGTCACATAGGTTAAAAAGTAATAAGTCGTAAAAGAGAAGGACAGAATTAGAAAAGGGCTTGAATCTGGTTCTTTACATAAGACTATCACCTTCACTCACTACGCTGTGTCCAGTATCTCCCACAATGCCTACTTTTTTTCTTAATGACTGGATCAAATAAAAGTAGGTTTGTTCATATTTTTCTGATTGACTATGAGAATCTGAAGTATCTTTCCTATCACTAAAACATTAGGTATTACTGATTCCAAAGGAAGGCAAATGCAACCTGCTAAGTCACCAAAGTATTGTGGTTCAGACAAAATAAATCAATTCAGAGTTTCTACAGCTTAACGAGAAGATTCAGGAATAAGAGAAACAAATCTTATCTTGTATTTCTTAATGCTGAGTTCCACTGACAGATAAGCAAATCCACCCTTGAGTAAATCCCTGTTAATGATTCTGTTGGCTCAGGTGTACAATGAAGAATGACCATGTATTTCTGGAAAGAGTGTGGTCATCAAGTTTAACAAAATGGTCCAAACATTCAAGGTAGTAGAAGATGTAAACCTTGTGCCCTGCATCAAACTAAAGCAGCTGATATGCTTTTGCCCAAATAGAATTGTATATCCTCATTTCCTTCCCTTCTTTTCTCCACTTGTGACTCAAGCCAGATTTCATCAAGCTATTTTTATAATTACTAAAATGTTGGAAATACAGCAGCAGGCCAGAAGCAAAGTAAAACGCAGCATCCAGCAAAAAAAGGAAAATCACGCTGAGTAACTGAAAGGCCATCTGCTACTAACTGAGCTGTAGGGTGAGGAAGGCAATCTGGGCTGTACTATTTGTGTCTTCCCCCAAACCCAACCCACCTGCATGTTGTCAGTGGCATCCCCAAGCAGTCCTCCAAACGTGATCGCATTAGTTACAGTCGCCAGATAAATGAAGAGAATTGCTGATAGAGCCTGAATATTTAAAGCGTCATAAAAATCACTGGCAAAAAATGGTGCTTTCCTCTTTATGTCCTTAATTAGTCCACCACAGAACCTGGGTGAGGAGAAAGCAAACATGTGACGATGTAACATAAATTACCATCAAATTAAGCAAGAGATAACTTATTAAACCACAAAGAATGTGTACTTGACGCATGCTTGAAGGAACAAGGTACTATTTAATCACTTAAGATAAAACCAGAAAACTGTGGAAGAATAAATTTTCTTCTATCTTCCCCTGTTTCAGTCACCAAATTAGGTGTCACATTCCCTAAAGACCAGACAGTTGGTCTTTAGATGAGAGTGAATTGTTGAGCTAAATTGAAACTTCTCACCATACGAAGAAAATCATCCAAACATGCGAGCAGATCATACAAGGACCTTTATAATCTTGCCATGGCTTCCTTTCCAGCCTCATTCATTCATTCATTCATTCATTCATTCATTCATTATTCCTCATTCCACAAATGCTTATTGAGCATCTGTGATATACCCAGAACTAATCCTGGTGCTGGAAATATAAAAGTGAATGATACAGAAAAGAAAAGAAAATACCCACTCTCATAAAGTTTACTTTCTGTATGGAGGAGACAAAATATGTAAAATGCATGGCACTAAAAATCAAGAAAGAAGTTAAGTGGGGAACAGGATTATTAGATGAGAGAGGAGCAGTGGTTGAAATATCATGGTGACCAGAAGGGGTCTCCCGATCAGGTGACTTTGGGGTAAGAATCTGAAGATGTTTCAGATTCAAGGAAGCCATGCAGGTATGTGGTAGAACAGCATGGTATGTGGTAGAATAGCATTGCCTGCTGACTCCCACAGCAAATGTTAGCAGGTCAGCTGACTTATGCATCAGTCAACTCACCTTCCCAGCCAAATCTCACATCTTAGTATGAACAGGGCCAGGCAAACTGCAGACACTCGGTGCATTTAGCAAAGGTGAAATACGGAAGAATGACATCTCAGTCTGTAGTGTTTTTTAAAAGACATATTTTCATAAAATGAGTACCCAACTTGAAATTTTACTTAACCCAAAATGAAATGGAGAACCTAGCAGTGGAGGAGGAAGAATTGTCATGAAAAGAGATTTAGCCAAAGCGATCTGGGAAACCCAATTCCCCAACTGCCCTCTCTGGAAAACAGGACCTGTGAGTTACTCATGTATTTCTATAACATGTTACCCCCTTTTGAGTCAGTGTACAGGAAAGAGATGGAATCATGAAAGCCACATGTGTAAGATTGGCACATTACACATTCTTCCTGCCATACACTCTACCCAGAACCTCTCTTTTTTGTCTCTCACACCCCCTCCCTCACTCCACTCCAGTCACACCAGCCACAGCGCCAGCCTAACACATGCCAGATGCTCTGCTGTCCCCTCTTCCAACCCCACGTTTACATGGTCTATCTCCCACCTCCCTCAGGACTTTCCTCAAACGCTACAATTCTCTTTAAGGCCCTTGGTGGCCACCCTATCTAAAACACCTTTCTCACAAGGCAAACTCCCTACTTCTCCTTTGATTCCCCACATAAAAGCATCACCACATTCCTTGATTTGCTCACTGTCTGTCTCCACCACTACAAAGTAAGACCCATAAGGATAAGGAGTTTTGTTCAGTTCACTGCTGCATCCCCAGAGGCTGTGACTGTTAGGTAACTATAAATATTTGTTGGCTGAATGAATGTGCAAACAGTGAATAAAATGCTGATAGAAAGACGAAGGGAAATTTAGATCCAAGGAGAACCTCATTGTGAATGACAAAAGAACCCTTCAATTACCGTCCAGTTTTCTGCAATTCTTCACTGTCCCCATGTCCTCCTCCTCCTCCATGGCCGCCGTCATGGGGAGTGTCCCCATTCATCTGAACATTCTCTCCACCCGAGTACATGTTCTTTCTAAGACAACAGAGCCCGAGGGAATATTAGTTTCTTGTACTTATCTGCACCAGCTAATGAAGAGATGAGCTGAAAACCCTTTGGGAGAAGGATCCTTATTTCCTTCTACCATCCTCACAGACAGTTCTGAAAGTGTTATATTTAGAGCCAACACAAATGACTGGAGGAATAGAAAAGTTGAACAAATTGTATATTGGATAAGAGGGAAACCATTTCACTTGGAAAGTAACAGGTTTCCAGAAAATGGCTTCTCCTCAATCATCTCACCCAATTTCTTAACCTCTTATATCTGTAGGACGTCATTTTGAGTAAACTAATCTTCCCACATGCAAAAGGAGTTCCCAGAACATCCCCAAAGAGGCTCTGTGATATATTCCAATATTATAATATATCTCTACTTTGTTTTGTTTTTTGTTTGTTTGTTTTAATTTTTATTAAGTTATTACATATGTGTCCTTATCCCCAAATTACCCCCCAACCCCCCACTCATGCCCTCACCCCCCTGTTGTCTGTGTCCATTGGTTAGGCCTATAAGCTTACATATAAGTTCTTTGGTTGATCTCTCCCCCGACCCCCACCCTCCCCTACCTTCCCTCTGAGGTTTGACGGTCTGATTGATGCTTCTCTGTCTCTGGATATGTTTTTGTTCATCAGTTTATGTTGTTCATTATATTCCATAAATGAGTGAGATCATGTGGTATTTATCTTTCTCTGACTGGCTTATTTCACTTAGCATAATGCTCTCCAGTTCCATCCATGCTGTTGCAAATGGTAAGAACTCCTTCTTTTTTACCACAGCATCGTATTCCATTGTATAGATGTACCACAGTTTTTTAATCCACTCATCTGCTGATGGGCACTTAGGCTGTTTCCACATCTTAGCTATGGTGAATTGTGCTGCTATGAACATAGGGGTGCATATAGCCTTTCTAATTAGTGTTTCTAGGGATATATTCCTAGAAGTGGGATCACTGAGTCAAATGGGAGTTCCATTTTTAGTTTTTTGAGGAAACTCCATACTGTTCTACTTTGTAATCACCAAAGAACATCACAACATATAACATTCATTTTAAAATGTCAATGAAATGTCAAACCAAGGCACATACGGGATTCATTTGAAATGACATAATACATCAAGTTAAATGGGGACCTAAAAATATTAGGGCAGTACCCTGACTCCATTTCCTTTGCCAAATATAAACTCTTTCTCAAAGTTTAACATCCCCAACTGCTTGATAATTTACCTTTTGTCGGATGATGGAAGTGTCTTAGGAGGCTCTATCCTGATCGTTGGATCCCATTCCCCAGGGGGAAGGACAATGACTTCATCTAGGAACTCATCAATGCCAGCGATCAGGTCCTGCCTGTCTTTTGCTTTATAAGCAATGTCATGGAACACCTGAAGAAGAAGAAGAGGTGTGCTGATCCAACAACTCTCCACATGCCTGACATGCCCAGCCTAAAGAATATAACCCATAACCCACTTTAATATTACTATAACCACACTCTCACATTTCCTGTTATTCAGCTTGCCCCCAAATATTTCAGTAATAAACCCAAAGAATATAGGGAGAGGTATGAGAAACAAATGGCTGTTTCTTTTATATGTTTTTTTTTCTATCAATACTGTAAAATAACATTGCCTATTTTCTCCCACTGGTATGTACCATTATTGATATAGTTGCTATGGAAACCAAATGAAAATGATTTGGAGAAATACACTGAAGAGTCATTCCCTGAAATAAAAACTACCGGGACAAACCACTGCTGATAATTCAAGAAGGAAAAGATCAAACTGAGTATTAAGATCAGGTTAAGAGCAAAACACTTCAGCTTTCAAACACAAAAATAATGTTAGCTATTTTTAAAAAAAGAAAATCTGAGCTATATTGGCAACACCTAAACCAAAGGGTTTTAAGTGTAGGCGATCATCTGTCTAGCTATGAAAGACTTAGGATATGTGTAAGGGGCTTTAGGATCATCAGCTAGGTGAGAAGAATGGAACTGGCAAAAAGAATTATGTACATTCTGGAATGCAGAGAGTGTCTATATGCTTATTCAGTTATTGAGGCAACAACTAAAACATCCAAGGCAGCAAATGCTCCATGCCTTTTATGCAAATATCCAAAGAAAGAACTTGCTGAATGTACATCATTTAATTAGAAGGATGTAGGTTGTCAGCCTTCTTTATAATGAGCTTCATGGCAAATAAGCTGACATCCACAGTTCTCAAAATGTAAATTTCATATTGGGATAAATATATTTTCCTTTATTTTATAAACATTTTTCATTATTTGTGTGTGTGTATTGTATTGTATTTATTTGTACTGATTTTAGAGCAGGAAATGAGGAGAGAAAGAAACATCAATGTGAGAGAGAAACATCAATCAGTTGCCTCCGTCTGACTGGGGATCGAACCCACAACCTGGGTATGTGCCCTGATCAGGAAGTGAACCCACCACGGTTTGGTGTACAGAATGATGCTCCAACCAATTGAGCCACCTGTCCAGGGCACATTTTCCATTCTTAAAACTGGTGTAGGTTAAGTATTTTTTAAGAAGTTCAAGTCACTGTATTAACTTACAGTGACAGCCAAATCACAGAATGAAAACACACAAGTAAGACTTTCGCAGATCATCATCTTCCCGATTTCCTACCTCGTCAGACATCAAGGTGGCAATGGCTCTGCCAATCTCATGGTAGGACTTGCCTTTCCCCTTAGGACCTAGGAGAATGAATAAGAACCTAATGGAAGAGGAAAGAAGCAAAGGCTATAACACACATATCATCAAACTCAAAATACATAAAACTGAGACACGTTTATCCTTGCTCATGTAAAGGTTAGGTCTATAATTCATCTTTAAACAAATGTAATATTCTTGGCATATGACAGATACTCTTTCAACTACAGTGAAACAAAACTCACTGTTTAGTTTCTTTGGAGGCAATGGAGAATTTAGCATGGAAACCTGAGAAGCTTCTTCGTTGACAAGGAAAGGTTCCATTTTTTGAGTCATTCAATCTTTCCTTTCTAAACTTTCTTTTCTTTCCAGTTCTACTGAATTGCAGAATCTTTAGTGAAAACCATTAAACACAATAACTAGAAAGACTCAGTACATCTTCTGGTTTCTCTGACTTTCCCTTACCCAATTTGGGCAATGACATATGACCTTCTCCAGGCTTAAGAAATGTTTCTACTCAGAAGTGACAATTCTTCTACAAGTAAGCCACATGCTGACAGTAAAGAAAGAAAACTATGGAAAAAAAAGAAAAAGAAAGCATCATTCACAGTTAAAATTTTGTGTGAGGTGTGTTGTGTGTTTTTTGGTGGGTAACCTCATTTTCCTTTCCAAACTTCTTTTCTTGATAATGCACAAGCATTGCTCCACAGTGAGTAGGTACTGAAACTTGCAATAATAAGCTTATCCCCATTTAGGTTCACCTCTTGTCATGGTGGGAAAAATCCCTCATTGAGGACAAGAGCAAAGCTGTATGTTTTGACTAGGGAGGAGGAACCTGATATGTAAATGAATGAAAAATATATACTAAAGGCAACATCAGATAAATCTCTGTCTTGTTTATGATCATGTCTTACCCAACACAGAAATAATGAGGACAATTAAAATGATCACATCATATATTTGCACAGCTTTTTAAAGTTTGCAAAGCACTTCACAGTCATCACCTCATTTAAATTCCATACAATCCTTTGCAATAAGAACAGGTATCCTAGTCCTGTTTAATGGTGAAGAAACCCAGGCTCAAGAAAGTTAATGGATGAGCCCAAAGACTGTGCCTGGTATATGAGAGAGAGCAGACAGGCCGTCCAACCTTTTGTTATTTTCAGCACACAATTCTGCCTAATATTACCTGCCCAACCTATACACCAGGTTTATGATTCCGTAGAGAAAGGCTATTCAACAATGACTCTCATAGATCACTCTGGGGAAAGGTGCTGTGGATATTTAGCTGGGAGCAAGGTATCTTAGGTAAAACTTTAGGGGACCAGGAATGGCTGAGGATTTGGCTTAGTTAAATTTTATTTTTTACTTATTTATTTATATACCTCACTTTAAATAAAAAGGGATTGACAGCAAGTACTCTTGAATGTGTTAGGGTTTATTCCAAACTGTCCTTGAAGAGGTAATTCCTCTTTTTCATTATAAAATTCAATCCAAAGAAGAAAAAAAAATAGAAATAAAGAATGTGAAAGTATCTGTAAGTATGAATATTCAGAGTTTATCTCAGAATAACCATAAAGTCATTCAGCACTTATGTGCTTAGCAACCAGTTCAGGCGGCATGCTCACTTTCTTATTTATTTATTTATTTTAATTTTTTTGTTTGTTTATTGTCTAAAGTTTTACATATGTCTCCTTTTTCCCCAATTGACCCCCGCCCCCCCACTTCACAGCCATTCCCATCCCAGGCAAGCTTCCATCGCCCCAGTGTCTGTGTCCATTGGTTATGCTAATATGCATGCATACAAGTCCTTTGGTTGCTCTCTAACCCCCCCTCACCCCTACCATTTGTCTCTGGATCTATTCTTGTTCATCAAATTATGTTGATCATTATATCCCACATATGAGTGAGATCATGTGATATTTATCTTTCTCCCACTGGCTTATTTCGCTTAGCATAATGCTCTCCAGTTCCATCCATGCTGTTGCAAATGGTAAGAGTTCCCTCTTTTTTTTAGCGGTGTAATATTCCATTGTGTAGATGTGGATGAGTGACATGCTCACTTTCAAGTGTTATCATAGTGGATGCAAAAGCCACAGCAATCAGCAGGCACAAAAGTCTGTGCAAGTATGAAGGAAGCCGTTACTAGAATTGGATTTTAGTTCTTCTAACACTGAAGTTCAATTGAGACTAGAACTTTTCTTTCTTTGAAGCTGGGCTTACCTTATATACCCCTACATACAGTATTATACAGTGTTCCTTTATGACAGTGAAATTTATTTTTCTAAAGGGACTGATCACTAATTTGAGTGCAACGCATGCAGAAAATATTTAACCACTAAGGCAAAATACAAATACAAATTAAGAAACACCTATAGCACTGGTCACATTTCCCAACTGTATTCCCCTACCAATGGCTAGCTGTCAGACAGGACCATCAGGGCATAGTTTTAGGCAAAAGGGGACAGGTGCACTGTAACAGGAAAAAATGGACATCTGAATCTTCTACTTAATATATTTTTAAATAATGTCTTTTTCCTTGCCATTTTTTATTATTTCCATGTATCTAAATATTAGTTTTTCAGTAATTCATAATATCTTTAACTTTTCCAGAACCACTCTGAACCTCTTTTTGCCTTTCCCTAGCATCTCCATTATGATTATAGTTTACAAATACACATTGTGGAAATACACATTTATCAACTGACACAGGAGTTTTCAGGTTGACTATATGGCAACATCATCTGTATATTGTATTGTATTAACCACCCACAGTCAATTCTCCTTCCATCACCATTTATCCCCCTTTTTTTACCCTCTTCTACCTCCCCTAGCCCCCATTCACTCTGGTAATCACCACACTATTGTCTGTGTCTATGAGGTTTGTCATTTTTCTTAATTCCTTCCCTTTTTCACCCAGCCCCCAACACACTTCCCCTCTGACAGCTGTTGACATGTTTTCTGTATCTATGAATCGGTTTCTATTTTGTTAGTTTATTTTGTTCATTACATATAAGTGAAATCATACAGTATTTATTTTTTTCTGACTGGCTATTTTATTTAGCATATACTCTCCAGGTCCAGCCATGCTGTCACAAAAGTTAAGATTTCCTTCTTTTTTATGGCTGAGTAGTATTCCATTGTGTAGATATACCACAGCCTTTTAATCCACTCATCTACTGAGAGAGGACTTGGGCTGCTTCCAACCCTTGGCTGTTGTAAATGCTGCAATGAATACAGGGGTGCATATGTTCTTTCAATTTAGTGCTTCAGGTTCTTATAATTATTTACTCTAGTCTCTGCTAAATAGCACCAAAGAATAAATGGAAGTAGCAGACCAAAGGTGAATATAATATGTACCATAGCAAAACCCAATATCTGAGTATTATAATGTTTTAATAAAATCAGTAAATTATAGATAAAGGTACAATTCCTCTTTCTTAGGCAATATTTTATATAACTTAAATATGTGTGTGTATATATATATATATAACATATATACACCGAGTGGCCAGATTATTATGACCACCTGACGTTTGTAGGCAAATTAGCTATAATTATGCGCTGAAGTTGCTAGAGGGCCAGACCATTATAAGTAGGGAAGCAGGTTGTTTACCATGACAATAGAAGTGGTTTTTTTCTGAAGATATGGGTAAACAACGTGATTTAACAGCCTTTGAATGTGGGATATATTTGAACATGAGTGGCCAGATTATTATGACCACCTGACGTTTGTAGGAAAATTAGCTGTACACTGCATTGTATGGGATATGGAATCCGAAGACCTGTTCGAATACCTTTGCTGTCTGCAGTTACCAAGGTAAAACTTCTCCAATTCACACAGGAATACAAGGATTGTACAGTCAAGCATTGGAAAAAAGTCATGTGGTCCGATGAATCACGTTTCCAGTTGCATCATGCAGATGGAAGAGTGAGAATTTGGCAGAAACAGCATGAAAGCATGCACCCCACATGCATGAGTACAACCTTTCAAGCTGGTGGGGGCAGTGTTATGGTTTGGGCCATGTTTTCCTGGCATGATTTAGGCCATTTAATTCATGTGCAACAACGTATGAATAGTACAACATACCTAAGTATTGTTGCTGATCAGGTTCATCCTATCATGTTGATGGCATATCCCAATGGAGATGGCTTCTTCCAACAAGACAATGTGCCATGCCACGGTGCTCGTATTGTGTAGGAGTGGTTTCAAGAACATGAGGGAGACTTTACCTTGCTTAGGTGGTCCCCACAGTCACCAGATCTCAATCCAATTGAGCATTAGTGGGACGAAGTTAAAAGAGCCATCAGGCAGCTGGTTCCACAACCATCAGATCTCACAGAACTGGACAGTGCTATTCATCGGGCATGGTGTCAGATTCCTCGCATCACCTTTCAAAATCTCGTGGAGTCAATGCCAAGAAGAATCGTCGCAGTATTGAAGGCAAAAGGTGGCCCCACGAAGCACTGATGGGGTGGTCATAATAATCTGGCCACTCATAATAATATATATCCCACATTCAAAGGCTATTAAATTGCATTGTTTACCCATATCTTCAGAAAAAAATCACTTCTATTGTCGTGGTAAACAAGCTGCTTCCCTACTTATAATGGTCTGGCCCTCTAGCAACTTCAGCGCGAAATTATAGCTAATTTGCCTACAAACATCAGGTGGACATAATAATCTGGCCACTCAGTGTATGAAAAGCCACCAAGTAGTAAATAGAAATAACATGTTATATATCAGTTACATTTTCACATTACTCCAGTCAGGAATCATTCAGTAAATCCATCCCCTTCAAATGCTATAGAGAAAAAGAGAAAATCTGGCCATCTATCAGTAGCAGAAAATATCCCCTCAGGCTGAGAATTTCATCTGCAGGAATGAGACCCTTCAGAAGTGTCTAATTTGGACTGTATTGTCAAAATGGGGATGAAGGATTTTAAAAAAAAGAAAACTAACAGAACCACTCATCAAGTTCAAGTTCCTTCTGCTTGAAACATGTTCTCTCCCCTTTAACCTCAAAGAAGTGAAAGCTGTTACAACTTTTATGATAGAAGCACATCTTGCCAAGCTTAGCTTTTATAATGTACTGAAAACTCCTTTCATGACCCAAGCTGGTTTTTGTCAATGGACAGATGTTATTTTTAACCAGAAGCTTTTTTCTTTATTAACAAATTCAAGTAAACATCACATTTGTGTGGCTGGAAGGGCACAGACCACGTTGACAGCTTGGGGGGAAAGATTAATTTATGTTACTGAGTTATTTTGATTCACTCATAACGAGAAACAAGTCATAGTTCGCATTTTTAACTGTGCCTCGTCGTCTCTGGATCTTCACGAGGCACTTCTACTCCTGTGAGCGTTTTCCTATAACTCATTGTGCCTGGGGAGGAGGATGCCTGTAGCATTTTCCACAATAAAAACAAGTGCCAGATGATCTGTGTCCGGAACCAATGGACTACACTCACATTCACAAAATAATTATAGCCAGAAACAGAGCATAATATCAGAAAAAGAGCCAGCCTTCCTAAACCACTCAATCTTTTTAAAAAGGATGTGCATCCCCTCCTTCCTGATATATCAGAGCTATTTCTAGAATAAACTCAGCTTTTACCAATCCTTTACTCCCTTCTCTCAAAACAACAGTGAACCTAATAACCCATTATTCATATTTAGCAGCTTTGGAAAATGTGGCTGCACTGTAGCTTCCACAATATAACCTAACCACAAACTAACCTCACCAACCACATGACTCATGTAAACAGCAGTAGCAATTGGGTTGTTGGACTAGATAGAATTGAACTAGTGGGACCTCCATCCCAAGACCTCTAATAGGATATTTTATGGTTTTTAACAATTAAGTGTAAACTACTTTTTTTAGGTAATTAATAATTTATAACATAAAATATATATTGACTTACAGTGAAACTAAAGAGGTAAACATTTTAGGGGGTACAACTCACTGAATGTGCCTTAGATATGAAAATCAAGGTCATAAAAGGACAAACTGCTCAAGGGCTTTTATTCTTCTTCAGGTGAACACCCTAAAGTATTTTATTTCAGTCCATTCTAGATATCTCCTTAGATTCTCCCTAAAACCCTAGCCTTAGAGTCAGAAATCTGCAGTCCAATTTCTAGCATTGACAGTGGATCTTCCTTTTGCCTCTATCTTTCAACTATACAGTGGGAATAATAATTGTTATCCCCCACAGAGCCCATGAATGTGAGTGAGGAGCAGCCTCTATGAATAAAGATGACAGTGAGCAAAGTGTGTGCAAGATACTAGGAAAATCGTAAACGTATACAACCAAGTGACCAAAACCAAAAAAAAAAAAAAATTGTTTGCTTTCACATGGATGGCAAGAAGGGCCCCTAAGTAGATCACATCACTCAGCTGGTAGTAGTCCAGCTACAAACAGAAAGCTAAAATAGATCAACCAAATAACTGGTGAACTCCACACAAGGAAACTCTTAGAGTTACACTTCCTAAAAGGTGCACAGTAATAAAAATAATAAGCATAAGAGCATAACTTTTCTTCAAACGGGAAAATGATCATGACAAGATGTGCCCCAAACCAGACTTTCTGGGTCTCCCTGCAGTACAACAGGGTGGCGTGCATGTGAGAGCACGTGGCTGGTGCAGAGGCCGTCCCACACATGACAGCCACATTCCTCGTGGGATTACCTTGATTGGGTTTCACAGGATGCAGCCATTGTCAGTGGCCCCACATTACTCATACACACCAAAAGCGAATGAGACTCCCTACACTGTGATTCCAGCTTGCACTGGTTCAGGGGATAGCAAATGAATAAATCTATTTCCTGGGAAAATGTTAACATTCTAGGATTGTTCAGATTATTGCCCTGAAATAGTTTGATGACATTATTGAATTACATTCCCTTGAATTGCTGGGCTCCTTTTGTTCATTCAAATGATGCTGTATTTCACCTCTAGACTCCTGCCACGCTCCAGTACAGAGGAAAAGAATGAGACAGGCAGGAGCAGATGATAAGAAGAACACAAAAATGGTCACAATTTGCTGCTCCATAAACTCATACTACTGTTAAATAAAAAGCCTTTGGAAATATTTTTTATTTGTAGCTTTTAAAGAAAAATAACAGAAATGAAAAAGCAAGAGCAACTTAACACTTCTTGGCTTTTTTTTTCTTTTGAGCTCCAGTAAAGTTTGTCCAAAAATACATAAATAAAACCATAGGGACACGCGAGCTGGCCTTCAGCCATGGTCTGAGTCAGCCAGCTTTTGCCAGGTGATTGCTCTGATAGAACTTTAAGGCTCTGCTGGTGTGTTTTCAAGCCAAAAGCTAAGTTACAGAAAGCATAAATCATGATAATCCCATTAATTGAATAAGCAAGGGTCATCTCCTTTCCTCAGCTATTTTTCCAATGATTGCCTACTAATATCTGGTATTATTCCCATTTGAAGAGTCTAAGAAATATAAAAATGAGAAAAATATCTGTATGATGAGAAAGAATGTCCTGTAATCTATGCATTGGGAGGCTGTAAAAGGAATGTTTTTCCTAATTTTCCTGTCAACTTGGTTCAAAACCAACCTTGAGACCCTAGTCATTGTCCGTGGATCATACTCAGACCATCTGAGATGAGTGAGGAGGATCCATAGCCCTTCCTCCTCACCTGGGAAACCTAAAGAAGAGACATGTCACCTGTCCTTGCGCTGGGGCCCAGGAAAAGCGCGCGCGCACACACACACGCGTGCACACACACACACACACATACACACACACACTGAAAAGTTGCTATTCATGTGATAATTTTCAGACATCAATTTGAAGATTACAAGCTTCTCTTCAAACTCTTATCAGCACAAGTTTAAGAGAAGCATTAATTCCTATTCACCTATTGCATTCCTTAAGTCAAGCTTCCTAACTCTATTAGAACAGTTGCAGAGGGAAATAAACAGGATGAGTTTGAAGATACCGTGCAGTATATTAAATACATGATTATAATAACAATAATATGCATCTTTTTAAAATAAAAATTTATGCAACATAATTCATAACAGTAAAGTGTGCAAATTTAAGGGTACAACTTTATAATTTTTATATGTCTGTGTATATGTATATACACACATACACACACTATTAATTTTCTGATAAAAAATAGAACAAATGAAAGCAACTCTGACCTCTGAACCAATTATTATCTGTATCAGTTTGGACAAGTTACTTAAACTTTTAGGCTCCGTTTTAAATCTGTACACCTACAGTTTATACTTAAAAAATATTATTGTGAGGATTAAGTAGACTAATCCATAAGAAGAAAACCAATACATGGTCCAAGAAATTGTTTGGTTATTATGATTAGTACTATATAAGTGCCTAGTCATATGATGGTATAAAAGTCAGATTAAACCATCATTTCATATTAAATCTACCCAATATGCTCTCTCTGGATGTATCCTCATTCTATTGATTCTCTAGCCTGAAAGGGGAGGTTTTCCTATAACCACACTGTAGGCCCCAGCAGGTCAGGGATCAGCTTACCTGGTGGGCACAGGGACCTCAGTCAGGGCACCCAGCATGACTGCCTGCTGCAGCCGAACAAAGGCAACGAAAGGCGCATCCAAGAAGTCGACCTCCCCGACAAGCACGTTGGAGGCTTCTGCATCACGGGGCAGTTTTTTCATGAACTTGTTCTTCAGCTGCATGGGAAGAGTCAAGAAAACACAGAAGAGGGGACAAGAAGAAACAGTTCACATATCACTCGAGGGAATTCCTTTATATGCAACAGGACCTAGCTACAGCCATTTTCGTATTATGTTTAACCATTCTATTAAACATTTCTCTGTACATTGGATTAAAAAATATTGAAGGTATAATCACATGACTTATATATAACACAATTCCTTTATTGATTCACTCAATCAATAACCATGTGTTGAGAGTCTAGAAGGGGCCAGGCACCGATCTAAGCCCTAGGAATACAGTTAAGGATCAACTAATCACATGTCCTGCTTGGATTCATATTCCAGCAGGGGAAAAATAAAATATGATTTGAAGTTGTGATAAGTGCTAAGAAAAAAAGACATAAAACCAGTAAAAGGGTACATTAAGTAGGGTGGTCGGGAAAGGCTGCTGAAGAAATACATTTGATGCTGGAGTCAGGGGACAAGCCATGCAAAGATCTAGGCCAGTGATGGCGGACCTATGACACGCGTGTCAGAGGTGACACACATGAACTCATTTTGGTTGATTTTTCTTTGTTAAATGGCATTTAAATATATAAAATAAATATCAAAAATATAAATCTTTGTTTTACTATGATTGCAAATATCAAAAAAATTCTATATGTGACACGGCACCAGAGTTAAGTTAGGGTTTTTCAAAATGCTGACATGCCGAGCTCAAAAGGTTCTCCATCACGGATTTAGGCAAAGAACATTCCAGGCAAGAGAACAGCAAGTGCAAAGCCTCTGAGATGGGAAAGAGAAAATAATAAGGCAAGTGTGATGGCAGCTGGAGAAATAATGGGGGTAAAATAGCAACAAATGGAGTTGCATAGGTAAGGGGGTGGGGGAGGGACCAGATGGTAAGGACCTTGAAGGCCACAGTCAGGAGTTCTGGGTGTTTTAAGTGGGACTTGCCTAATAAAAGCCCAATTGAAAAGGTAGAGTAGAAAGACTACATTTCAGAGATATCACCATATAAACAATGCTTACAACCATATGGCAAGATCACACAAGTTTGGGTGTGAGTGTAGACAGAGAAGAAGGAAAAGATCTAAATCCTGGGCCACCCTACCTTTTATAGGAATGGGAGGAGTTATTGGCAGAGGACACTGGAGAAGAGCTGCCAGTGAGGCAGGAGGAAAGCCAGGGCTTAACAGTCAGGTGAAGGAAGGGCTCAATAAGGAAAGCATATCAAGCTGAGTCAAAGGCTGCTGAAAGCTCAAATACGCTCAGAACTAAGAATGGACCCGATGAATTTGGCAGATGGAGGTGCTGGGTGACCTTGACAAGAGCTATTCCAGCGGACATCAGGGAGCCCAGGAAAGAATGAGAGGTGAAGAAATGGAGACCTGGAGTACACATTACTTTGAGAAATGTTGCTACCAAGAAAAGCCAAATCATAGGCAGACAGGAGAAAGAAGGCATAAAACAGGGGGATTTTTTAAGTGGGAAATATGATAACACTTGTAAATGTTCATGGGAATGATGTAGTAGAGACAGATTATTGCTGTGGAGATAGGGGATAACTTCAAAAGCCACTCAAGCAACCCTGAACTCTTGAGAAGAGACCATCAACATCACAAGTAGAGGGATTATTTCAGAAAGGAACACAGAGAGTTTATCAATCCTCATTAGGGAAAGCAGACTAGTATACGGGTACAGAGGGGGGTATTAGGGGGATCTGGTGGGTGAAGATGAGGCTTCTGAAGACTCACATTTTTGCAGTGAAAGACAAGTGAGCTGATGGTGAGAAAGAGGGGAAAGTATGTGGGAGTTTGAGTAAAGTGGTACAGATGTGGTTTTCTTGGAGAGTGGAGGTTGCTTAACAGTCACTTTGAAAGCTTATCTTTTTAAAATTTATCTGTATTGTTGAAAGTATTACAGATGCCCCTCTTTTACTGCTTCTATTCCACTCCCAACCCTTCCCCAGGCCTTCACTGCACTATTGTCTGTGTCCATGGATTATGCATACATGCATATAAGTTCTTTCATTAATCTCTTCCTGCCTTCCTCTGAAATTGTCAGTCTGGTGCATACTTTATTGTCTCTGGATCTACTTTGTTCATTGAATTCTACATATAAGTGAGATCATGTGATACTTGTCTTTCTCTGACTGGCTTATATTGCTTAGCATAATACTCTTCAGGCCCTCCAAGCTGTCTCAAAGGCTAACAGATTCTTCATTTTTACAGCTGCACAGTATTCCACTGTGCAGGCCCTCCATGCTGTCTCAAAGGCTAACAGATTCTCCATTTTTACAGCTGCATAGTATTCCACTGTGTAAATGTACCACAGCTTTGTTACCCACGCATCCATTGACGGGCATTTGGACTGTTTACAGATCTTAGCTATTGCAAATAGCACTGTTATGAACATAAATTCTTTCTGATTGGTGTTCTGGGATCCTTGGGATATATTCCTAGAAATGGGATCACTGGGTCAAATGGCAGTGCCATTTTTAATTTTTTAAGGAAATTACATCTTGTAGGTGTTATTCCTTACTTCCCTTCCCTTCCCAACACCCACTTAGAAAAGGGTTGTTTAAGCATCCTTCAGTGAGTGGGAAATGCCTCCCAGAGCTCAAGGAAAACATTTCAACAATCACGGAAGAATATAGATAAGAATTTTGCAGGACCATATGAAAGGCAGACTTGTGATATATTATCAATATAAATGCCTCTCCTCTCAAGTCTAAAGTTACTAGTGCACTTAGTATTTTGTGCCCTGGATTATTGCTGAGATAGGAAGTGGCAGACATGGCCCAATTCTCCTCATTAATAAAAAGGTAGCAGTAAGACTTTACTTTCTATTTCTGTTTAAATAGTTCTTAATTAGGGAAAATAAATGTAAGGAAAACTGATCCCTAAAACTCCATTACCCTCAGTAGTATTTTTATGGGATTTTTTTTCTTAAATTTGGTACTTTATATAAGAAGAAAGCTATGAGGCAAAAAAAAAAAAAAAAACACCAACACAAACAAACAAACAAACAAAAACAAGAAAGTTAGGGCTAATACTTTAGTGGAAACCAAAATTAAAAAATCAAAAGCAAAATATATTTTTTAGATGTTAGAAACATGATTACTTCTAAGCGGTAAGGGATATTTCCAAAGCTTATACCATTAATCCTCCAAGAAATGCTTACATTAAAAATAAATTATGTTTACATTGTACAGATATGAAAACAGAAGCCATGGGAAGAGTCTTTATAAACATCAAATTGTTATAAAAAAAACAAAACACACATTATTATGGCCTACAGAAGTTCCAGTAATGAACTGTTCTCTATAACACAGAGTAGAGTGTGGGATATGGATAAGTGGCCCAAGCACAAAACACAATATCATTGCTAGAGTAACCTTCCTCACACTCTTTCCAGAGTTCCCATTACCAACACTGGGCACGAAGTTCTGTGATAATCAGATTTTATTACCCCTTCTCTCCAGCATTCTCTCTTTGCTCTAGTTAGGCAGGTAGTCTAATCATTTCCATTTCTATTTTATGTACTTATCCCACAATCATGACCAAACACTCTCTCATTTCTACCTTTTCTAAACATCCTTCAATGCTCAGCCCCAGTCTTGCTACCATCTCTGCCCACTTTCTTGGGAACTCCGGAGTGCTCATTTCTGAATCATACTTCAGGTCTCTTGAGGGTTAGAACAGTTTATCCCTCCTTGTACTGAACACCTACCTGCTTTTCACATAATTCAGCTGTACTAAATATTTTGAATGAAAGAAATGAGCTCTATAGCACTAAAAATCAGACCAAAAGGACTTCAAATGCCCAGGAACACTAGAAAGAATGTGTTTGTTTGTTTGTTTTGTTAATCCTCATCCAAGATTATTTTTTCCACTGATTTTTAGAGAGAGTGAAAAGGAGGGAGGTGGAGGGGGGAAAGAGAAAGAGAGAAACACCAATGTGAGAGAGACACATTGATTGGTTGTCTCCTGCATGCACCAAACCAGGCTGGGATCGAACCTACAACTCAGGTACGTGTCCTTGACCAGCAATTGAACCCACAATCCTTCAGCGCGCAGGCCAACACTAACCACTGAACCACACAAGCCAGGGCTAGAGAGGTTTTAAAGGCTTATTCTAGAACCTACTATGTCTGACTCTGTCACTAAGCAACTGATAATTGTCAAGATACGTTCTTTTATATCAGTGTATCTCAAACTGTGTTAGCGGAACACATGCGTTCTCAGAAAAACTAGTAGCTGTTCTAAAATAAAAATGTGTGGTACCTGAGGTGCCCCAGAAGTCAGTCCTCAGATGGCTCTTTTCTTTCTACACACTCTCTGGGTGATCACCAAGGTCTCATGTCTTTAAGTCCCATCTATATGATAATGTCTCATAAATTTATTCCTTTAGCCAGGACATCTTCCCTGAATCCCATACCTAAAAACATCTCTACTTGGATGTCTAACAGGCATTTTAAGCAAAACTGAGTCCTTCTGATAGTCCCTTCAAACTAGCTCTTCCTCCAATGCCCCTCATCTGGTTAATGGCAATTCCATTCTCCCATCACTCAGGCCAAAACCTTGCTGTCATCTTCAACATTTTTCTTCCTCTCACACCCTCTGTCCATTCTATCAGCAAATCTTGTTGGATCTATGTTGAAAGTATATCCAGAACCTGACCATTTCTCATCAACCTCACTGCCACCACCCTCAGGGACATTACAATCATTCATTCTTCTCCTGGATTATGGCAGTGGCCTTCTGGCTGGATTATCTGCTTCTTCCCTTACACCCAGTCTATTCACCAAAGTAGCCTGACGTCAAATCAGGAATCAGATCATGTCTCTCTTCTGCTCAAAATTCTCTCTATTGGTCCCCATTTCACTAAGAGAGAAGGCAATGTCACCATCAGCTCCTTGACCTTATTTCCTACCACTCACTCCATCTTCCCTACGCCTGCTACTCTAGCCTCCATGTCCTCCCTCAAACACACCAGGTATACTCTTACCT